TACCAAAAGTCACCTAACATGCAGGAAGTGCCTCTGTTGGCTCTCTGATAGACAGCCACTAGAGACAGTTTTAGTCCGGCAAGGTATTATTGGAGTTCCTTATAGAATGCAATTATAATTGCAGGACTAAGTGGGACTGGGGCACTGCACCTAGACAACTTTAATAAACTGAAGTGGTCTAGGTACCTATAGTGACTATAAGTGCACACAAAGATGTTGATTGTAACTGTGTCAATGTGGAGAATAAGGAAGTTAAATCTGTCTCTGCTGGTCTTTAGATGATATAATTAAAGGTAGGACCATAAGTTTCTTCTAATGTATGGCTTACTTCGAATTTTGGGATATCTGCTGTAGTTCTGTAAGAGTCAGGGGGTACAGTTTCAGTCTCCCCCCCCAGTCTATATCTACGTGTGATTTTGGTTTAACATGATGTACAAACCATGTCTAAGATATGTTACTAATCGTGTCTTCAGCCTCTTACTTTTTTTTTCTTTTCGCTCTTTTTTTTTTTTTTATCACTCTGAATGCTTCTTCATAATATAACAACGTGAAGCCCGGCAGTGATGGTGTGCAGAAGGGTTAACACCAGCAGAGTCCCTGTCCATTAAAATTCTTTGAGCATGTGCAGGTATTCACTAGGGACTTGGACAAGAAACATTCAAAATCCTACTCACTATGTATCCATAAAAAAAAAAAACCCAACAAGAATTGAACGCAAATCCACAGGGGCACGAGGCTAGATCATTATTCAAACGCACCTGGTATATTTCAACAATTCATCTTATTCCCAGAACAGCTTAAGGAGGGGTGGGAAATGTTAAAACTCTCGGTGCACATATAATTAAATAGGAAATGCAGTCCTGAAATCACTGGAGTAAGATTATATTATAGCAAGGCTGTGCAATGGCGTTTATGTTACATGCAAGCAGGTACTTAGTTCTTGTGTTCACGTCGCGTGAACCTCTAAATGTAAAATGTTACACATGAAACATTGTTGAAACAGAGAAATTGACAGGAGGTAACAAATGCTTAGCTCGTCTAATCTGATAAAAAGAGAGTTTTGCCTCTTTATGCTTGTTATATGGCGCAAGAAAATACAATACAGGGTGCATGTCCAGACTACACAATATTAAATGCATTGTTTATATGTGTATTGCATAAGTAACAATTTAACTGCAAGAGATGTCCAAAATTGATAAGTCGCCATTATGAAGATTAGAATACACGGTCTAAGAAATCATTAACACATGTATTCACGGGATCATTAGAGCCTTGTGTTCTATAGGATCACAGTATTGTGGTACATTATCAGTGATATAACTTTAAATTAATCTATACATTTAACAAAGTCCTGGAAGGTTACTGAGGATAAGGTTGGGCTACTCTGTATCTTACAACACCATACAAGGCAGGAGATATTAAAAAGACTGCTTCCAAGTTCAGTGTTATTTGTAGCACCTGATTTAGGCTGGGTACACACAGTGTCCTGGCTTAAACAACTATATGATGTAAATTATTTAATATGGTCCTACCATCCCGCTTTTGCTTGTTGGTAACAACTGATACATATACTATGAGCGAATAAAGAACATACTGTGGGTCCTCCCGCTTCATAGAGGGCTTCATAGAGGGCTTTGACGCTTTAGGCACACACTGCTCTGTTAAAAGGCATTCATTTAGTTCTATCCTATCAGGATATATCAGTTTTTTTTTCCAACATTCAACCAACCTTAAAAAAACTTTTTCTTTCTTTCTAAAGTTAATTGAAAAGTTGAATTTCCATTGATAGACCCTTAGGTTTTTTATGACACAGGTATCTCCTGTGGATTTTTTTGCTGACGCCTTTTAACTTACTACAGACGATTTAAAAGACTTATTGTTTTATTTTATCCGGAAATCTGCAGTGTTCTAGCACTATCCTCTCTAAGTCCCTAAATGCTGCTCTTCCAAATGTTGAAAGTCAAGTCATATTCAGTAGACAGAGCTCAGACAGGCTAACTCTCTATTTCATTCCTGTGATCTACAGTTTCCTGGGTAGTTGTATTTTTTTGCCAGGTCTATCATCGCAGCAGGAAAATGAATACTCTCCCTCTCATTCCCAGAAGGTACCATTTCATTTGAAAGGGTCATTTTCTGAATAAAAGAATATTTCAAGAAAGTATTTCAATAGCTTGAATAAAATGAGCAATCATTCCATCTCACTCCGAACAATCACGCTAACACTTATGCTCTTTGGGCTGGAATCTATGACCCGCTGGCTGCTATTCCACATGTCTCTGTGTTTCCCACAAGAAACTTTTGATTGCAAGCTTACAAGGACAGGAAAGACAGTACAACTATTGGCATTTTTTGTCTGTAGAACTCAAAATAAATACTTTTTGTGTCTAGTGGGGGAGGAACTCAGTGGCAAGTATTAGCCTTACTTACTATCACATTGGAAGGTATAAGAAAGTATTGTAGAAGAACCTCATTAATTGAAATAAAACATTGTAGTACCAGAAAGTGTAAATCCTCTAAGGGTTTATTATTTACTGAACATGGAACTGTTTGGCATTTCTTTGTCAGACTAGCACAATTCACTGTTTACTTCCAAGGGAGTTGATTTAGAATTTATGGAGCTCCAAACGTACATTCCTCAGGTCCCCACTAGTTAAAGGTAGTCCCATTGACCCTAATTTGATTGTTTTCCCCCTACATTTAAAGATACATATCAGGTGGATGAGTGTAAGAGTGGTGCTTTTACCTGCTTGTGGGGCTTCATCACTGCCTAACACGACATGAGAAGAGAATAGGAGTTTGGACTCAGCCATCTCCTTCTTGTAAAGGGATACATAGTCACCTAGACCACTTGATCTCGATGAAGTGTTCTAGTTGTAGTTTCTCTGTCCTTTTAATTCTGTAATGTAAAACATTGCAGTATTTTTTAGAAACGGCAATGTTTACACTGCAGGGTTATGTCCACGATGATGGCTGTCCATATGACAGCCACTAGAGGTGCTTTCGCTACACTGGCCGAGTAAAACATGGTCATGTGACGTGAAAAGCCCTTATAGAAGGGCATTGATTCAGTGCTTTCCTATATGGGTAAGCTTGAATGCATGTGCACCACTTATCCCAATGCTCCTCTGTGTGGAGCATTAGATTTGACCATTGCAGTGAAAGCCCTGCCTCCTGTGTGATGTCACAGGAAGCAGAGCGTTAAGCAACACAGTAAGCAACGTTGAGGGAGCCTCTGTGCTGGAAAAAAGTAAAAACATGTATGTATCAATTTTTATTGCACATTAATGGGTGGCATAATACAAGGGACATGGAGACTATAGCCTTAGTTATGCATTGATTAAAGGAACACATTAGGATAACAAACCTAAGGCTATAGTCTCGATATAGTCTCAATTTGAGGGATCCTAAGGACATTCACTTCTTTTTTTTAAAAAACATATTTTTATTTATTATTTTTGAGAGTCTGGAACATTAGTTTGAGAGGACTTCAGTTCAGGGATAATTAGGCACAAATCAGATTTTTATTTGCAAATCACGTTCCGGTTAATTTAGTGAATACCATCTAAATGTATGTTTTTAGTAGCATCAAGCTAATCTGAATGTTTTTACAAATTCAAAGTTTAGTAAATAACATTGCCAAGTTTCTGATTGCTTATCTACTGTAAAATGATACAGATCTGAGTTAAAATTCCACGGAATGCTATCATATACTATTGAATCAGCACATATGTCTGGGTTTATCACTTAGTATGTCATAAAGTATCCAATTAAATTCCAGTCACAAAGTATAACATTAGGAATTGCTTTGTCTTATGTACGCAACAATTGTTGGCAAAATATGGCATAAGACAGCGCTTCATTCAGCTTCCACCTGCCATATCTTGCTATTTCCCATCAGTCATTACTCGACTTTGTTTCATGTGAAATGCAGTAGATGTAAATGTTATCACATCTGCCAAAAATTACTTCCGAGCACTACATAACAAAACGCAAAATACAGAAATGTCTTGCAAAACCATAACACTGTGGAAAGTAGGAGGTCCACATATTACTTTGTCCATGAGCACAAGTCTTGCCCTTTCTTCCTTCTTCTTGCAGGATAGTCCTCCCAGAGTCCACTTTGAGAAACCAACAAAAAGCATATGTAGCAACCTCTTCAGGTATAAAACTGTACACCAATGTGCTGCATTTGGATTTGAGGAACTGAGGAACATCAAGTATACGTTTTGGGTCCCATGACCCTTTCTCTGTGTTACATGCCCTCCTCCACGTTGAGTGCAGCTTTCTGTTTTTCCTGTGCTTGCCATGCGTCAACTGAAGCTGTGACAACAAATAAAGGCCTTGATTTAATATTGTTTTTTAAATATTCCAGATTATTTAGTATTTTTGGTTAAACTTTTGCAATGATATTTTATATATCAAAAAACATCCAGGTGTTGTCATATGAAATTGTTTTAAAAGTTTATCCAAAAAGATTAAATTATTTGGAAAGCTTACCCATCAGAACAATAACACCGACATTTTATAACAACGGAATTTATTTTGTCATATGAAGTATGACAACTGAAGCGTGGATCACCAAGTTCCAAAGTTCCACATTAATGTCATGTATGTGTCAGGGTCTTACCTGAGTTGGGAGTCTGTAGCGCAGATATGATGCTCACCCTTGCAGATAGCCACAGGCCGAGGTGGTCAGGTAAGAATTCACCTGGCCTGTGGGTCTGTGCACGGGGGCTGTGCAGGATGCAGTACCAATACGCAGGACAGGCAAGGACTGAACCAGCAGGATGGTCGAGGGATAGCCGAGGTCAAAGGATGCCAGAGGACAGGAACAACGAGGAGTAGCCGAAGTCAAGGGATGCCAGAAGTCAGAATAAACGAGTCAGGAAGCCGGGGTCAATAATGCGAAGCGATGAAACAGGAACACTGGAACAAACAGGATCAAGGACTTGACACTGAGCACAGGGCGAGGCTGGGTTTATATACCCTGCTGATGACTGATCAGAGTCAGGTGAAACACAGCCAAGTCAAGGTGCAGCCCCCAGAGTAGTAGCCATGTCAGGATGAACAGGATTGGAATCAGTCTTCACTGTAAATAGCTGCTGTGGCTCAGAGGTAGAAAGCAGGACCAGGACTGAGAAGATCCCCGGTTCAAGTCCCCTGTTGGGAACTCCAAGAGCGACCACGTCTTGCCGTCTGTCTATCAGGTGAGAACCGTGACAGTACCCTCCCCTTTAAAAACGACCTCCGGGCGTGAATGGGTTCATTGTCAGCATAGTACACCTCTCCAGGGTCACTATCTGAATCCAGTGAGTCCCCATAGTCAAACTCCCCAGCAAGGATTCCCTTTACAGCTTGGGAGTCCGCAGTACCAGCTTCTGGTACGGCTGGAGAATTGTCCAGGTCTTTTAGGTTCCGGGTACAGGTGGCAAGCACTTCCAAAACTTTGGCAGGAGCAGTGTTCGCAGCTAACAATGCTTTTTCGAACATATCAAGGTCTTCTTTACGGACTATAGTGCCATTAGAAGTAACGGTACAATCCACAGGTAAAACCTCTTCGGGCGGGCAGGAAGTAGTGGTGGTATCACAGGAAGCAACTTCGGGAGTAGATGCAGGAGGCTCTGGAGCAGGGGATGAAGGTTTTCTCGCGGAAGCCAAGCATGTGCAAGCACAACGGCTTCTATTTGGCTTTTTAGGCTGGTATGCGGTGTACACAGGGCGAAGGAAGCTAGTACCAAGTCGGAGAGCTGGAGGTCTAGGAGGGCGAACAGGACAAAGCGTGATGAAGTGCCCTTTTTCTCCACAGTAATAACATAGGCCATAGCTTCTCCTTCGGTCTTTTTCCTTAGGTGTCACTTTGCAGTGGACGAGTCCTAATTGCATAGGTTCCACAGGGTCAAGTGGAACACCGGATACCTCTGGAGTTTTCCTGGGAGCTGGAACATAAGGAGGCATTTCTGGGGCGTAGTGGTGGTACTCGGTTTCTTGGTTAGGAAGAGTCTGAGATTTTTTAGTACGTGGAGCTGACTTGGCCACAGTGGTCTTACATTGTAAGTCCATAGCAGTACTAAAGGATTCCCAGCTGACCAGGACAGGACTCTTCGTCTGCAACATTTGGTGAGCCCAAACTTTGATGCGTCCAGACAACAGGTTGATAGCCGCTCTGACCTTGATGAATTCTGTGGCATATGTTCGAGGCTTTAAGGAAAACAACACCTCACAATCCATCTTGAAAGACTGAAAGGATGTGCGGCTACCATCAAATCGGTCGGGCATGATGACAAACGGTTCAGGAAAAGCTGGTTCCGGGCTGGATGTACTGCGCCTTTAAGGAATAAAATTTCTTGCTGCAGCTCCGAAACAGTCTGGGCCAGGCTGGACACACGCTGGGTCGAGGGTGAGCACATCTCTGCGGACTCCATAATGGTCAAGTCCTTATGTCAGGGTCTTACCTGAGTTGGGAGTCTGTAGCGCAGATATGATGCTCACCCTTGCAGATAGCCACAGGCCGAGGTGGTCAGGTAAGAATTCACCTGGCCTGTGGGTCTGTGCACGGGGGCTGTGCAGGATGCAGTACCAATACGCAGGACAGGCAAGGACTGAACCAGCAGGATGGTCGAGGGATAGCCGAGGTCAAAGGATGCCAGAGGACAGGAACAACGAGGAGTAGCCGAAGTCAAGGGATGCCAGAAGTCAGAATAAACGAGTCAGGAAGCCGGGGTCAATAATGCGAAGTGATGAAACAGGAACACTGGAACAAACAGGATCAAAGACTTGACCCTGAGCACAGGGCGAGGCTGGGTTTATATACCCTGCTGATGACTGATCAGAGTCAGGTGAAACACAGCCAAGTCAAGGTGCAGCCCCCAGAGTAGTAGCCATGTCAGGATGAACAGGATTGGAATCAGTCTTCACTGTAAATAGCTGCTGTGGCTCAGAGGTAGAAAGCAGGACCAGGACTGAGAAGATCCCCGGTTCAAGTCCCCTGTTGGGAACTCCAAGAGCGACCACGTCTTGCCGTCTGTCTATCAGGTGAGAACCGTGACAGTATGTTATTTTGCTCTCTGTCAAAATAGGTTAAGAACTTTTGCTCTGTAGAAATACACTGTTAGCTTTCTTGCATGTATAAACCACTCTAAGAATAGCAGAATTACGTTCCCAGAGAAATCGGGTGGAGGCACTGTTGGTGTGGATTGACTCTGGGGGGAGGATGAGATGCTCTTCACCAGTATCTTCTCCTTAAAGTGTCTCTGCAGGTGATGTGGATTGATAGAAGCCATGGAAAGTTTATTGACTCTGTCTCCATTGTCGCACATGTAGCAGTGCCAGATGATTTGAATAGATGTGTCTTCCTAGCAAATAAATCTTTGTGGCTTAAAAGTGAAAGAGCAGGAGTTGCCATGATAGATTTTATTGATTATGTGTCATAGAAGCCCAAATGCTGTGGAGCTTAGTTGATTCACACCCTTTTTTCTATCAAAAAGGTATTGGTTGACTCCCTCCCGTTAAAGGGTTTGTATTGCCTCGATATAAATAGCTTTTATACGCAACAGCATGCTGAGAAAGTACATGTATATAAGCAAGACTACTAGATGAAAATGTATGAGATTTACCAATGTTCCAGAGTAATACACAATAAAATATTCTAACTGATCATTTGAAATCAAAGTAGTACGGAAGCAAAAACATGTTTGTCATCTCAATGTAGCCATAGGCCTCAAGAACCCATTAATTGTGGGATAAGGTATTCCCTGGATCCATAGAGACAATTTCAGAAACCCTGGTAGACACCAACATCATCATATTAATCTAATGGGAAATTCTCTAACTATTCAACCTTCTTTGAGGATGGTTGAACTTCCTGGAGCTCTGCAAGTTTTGTTGTTGTCTATTCACTTAAGGTCAAGGGATCTTCTACTCTGCGTGTACTTTAAAGTAAGTGCGGGAAGGATAGAAATATGGGCTTGTTACATAGTTACGTAGCTGAAAAGAGACTTGCGTCCATCAAGTTCAGCCTTCCTCACATATGTTTTTGCTGTTGATCCAAAAGAAGGCAAAAAACCCAGTCTGAAGCGCTTCCAATTTTGCAACAAACTTGGAAAAATTCCTTCTTGATCCCAAAATGGCAGTCAGATATCTCCTTGGACCAAGCAGCTATTACCCCACTAATTGAAATTATATCCCTGTATGTTATGTTTTTGGAAGTATTTATCCAATTTCTGTTTAGACATCTGTATGGACTCTGATAAGACCACCTCTTCAGTCGGAGAATTCCACATCCTTATAGTTCTTACTGTAAAAAAATCCTTTCCTTTGCCTTAGATTAAATCTCCTTTCTTCCAGCCTAAATGCATGACCTTGTATCCTATGTATAGCCCAGTTTATGAATGAATTTCCAGATAATTGTGAAAGAGAATCTTTTAAGGTTTCAAGCTATACCCTGGCAGGCTTCATGCTCGTTCATGGGCTACACTCCTGGGGTTCTTATATTTATAATTAACTGCAGAATCCATTTGTAGTTTTAACTGCTTCAGAGGTCACTCTGCAGTATGGTGCCCATGAAGCAGCTGCATTGGTTAATATTCACAGGTTTCAACCTGTTGCTGTATTGGACCTTCTTCTCCTGTGCCAAACTTCTTTGTCTCCCAGGTAAACTGCCTCTTGGAATATTCTCCTGTTCTACTTTGTCAATCAGTCTCTCAGTATTGACCTTTATGTTACCAGTATAGGAGCCTATGCAGAAAATTCAAATTAAAACCTATACACTTTCTATCCTTTTGTAAGTAGACTTCAAAGATATAACATTCTGCTCTTTAATCAAACAAAACTTTGTTGTACCACGACAAGAACATTTTAAGAGTCTGTATGTCTGTCTATCTATTTAAATATCTGTCTATAGTTGCATGCACACTAATTGCATCATGCTAAGAATATGTCCTTTGGGCCAAGCTAGTTTCAAGCCATATTTACAGGCATTAAGCAAGAAGACTCAGAGATTCTAGCATTTTATTCTTGTAATATACTCTAAATTTGTTCAGCTACCCACTGAGACAGAACCATGGAAACCTCACAGCTTGAGTTTATTTATCAAGTCACCGTAATTGAATTTCTTTTTTTTACTTAAGTTTTAGCATGCATTGTATTAACAAGATGCTACTATGTTTAATATCTACTGTATGTACCTTAACCTGCTATGTGCATGTGTATTTATACCTATATCATTTATTTCTCAGTTGGCAGTTTAGGAATGAAGTATAACATATGGTCAATTATAAAGCTCAGTTTTCACGACTTGCTTAATAAATATTGATGTTTGATTCTAGATCTGCAAAAATGTTTAGCTACTCTACCTTTATTCAAGGTGGAAAAAATCAGTAACATATCAGGGTTTTTTTCCTAATCTCTCAATGAAAAATCAATTACTTATCAGGTTTATTTCCTAATCTCTCAATGAACAATTGCAAAATTTGTAAGATTGAAATTTGAACAGATCATGCAATTTGGGTGCACATTCAGAAATTTTCCTTGAATGTGCACATTCAATCCAAACAACCTGCTGTCTGCTAAATAAATATCAGTTTGCTAATTATTTATGAAGTATAAAAATGTTGATGTTTATAAAAGAAACACTGTAGTGTAGGACAAGGGTCAGCAACCAATGGCACGTGTGCCATGCATGATACTCAAGGTGCTTTTGTACAACACTCAAGGCTACCAGAGGCTCTGGCCTATCAGGAGACCCAGCGGGAATTAAGTTTGTTAGAGCAAAATGAGCAGTGATTAAAGGTTGTGAGTGATAATCCTCAATTTACGTATTGCAACCCCTGTGAACAGGAATCCACAACGTTGTAGAGCAGCCCGCGTTGGCTATTGCATCTCCTGCCCTTGACCTGTATCTAGCCAGCCTAGGGACCTGGAAGCACCCACACTGCTAGATATACACAGAGCTACAGAATAAGCCTTTACAAACAACACAAACACACACAGTCCCCATAAGCACAACACCACTGACATCCACATACACACACAACCAGCTTCTCACATGCAATGCCACAAGCAGCCCCACACATACACACAACACCAAACACTCAATGTAACATATCATCCACACACACAATTCCACAAGCATCCCCCATACATAGCCCACATTCATAGGTATCACAATACCACAAACTACTTATGAACATATACAATATAACAGCCCACATACACACAAATACAACTCTACAAAGCAACTGCAGCACTCATACATAACACAAGCTGTAAACTGTAACATACACACCTCAATATAAAAAAAATAGGACAGGCACACCAAGGAACTTCAAGATCTTATCTTGGCACAGTACTA